TATCCAACAAAAAGCAGTAATAAATAAAAATCGTTATTTCTGTTTTACACTTCGCATTCAAAAAGCCCATGTGTACAAAATAAAAGGCACACATGATCTATTAAAAAGTCAAATTTCAAACAAAGCTCGCGATAAAAATTAAATCGCGAAAGAAAAAGACGAAATCAAAACCATTTCAGCAACATAAGGAGCTTCAAGGAAAATAGCTCCAACCACCAACCTTCTACACCAACAAGAGGAGATACCTCAATAGGAAATGGAAAAGCTCAATAAATCCCCAAGTGGATCCTTGCCTACTCCAAAGGCAACACAAAAATTATTTCATGACTCAGCATCATCACTTGAGTCATCAAACATAAATCATTTAAAGTCGTAATCAACATCCTTCCATCCAAGAAAAAGGAAGTCATCAATGTATAAAAGCCAACGGAAAGGCTTAATTATCCCCAAATGGATCCTTGCCTACTCCAGAGGCAAAACAAAAAGATTACCTCACGACTCAGCTTCGTCGCCACATGAGTCATCAAGCACACTCATGCAAGAGTCGCCGCTTCATCCCCCAATGGAGAACAAGGACTACATAAGATTCCATCAAAAGAAAAATGGAGTCGAAATCCCCCACATCACTGGGGGCAACAAAAAGAAAAAATCTTTCCACGACGGAGGCCACTACGGAAAGGCCACATGAAAATCCCCAAAAAGAATGCGTCAAGAAAGTTCTACAAAAAGACAAAAAGAGGAAAATAAAATTTTTCCATCTTCCCGTTCAAATAAAAGCTTCGCAAAGCCAGGAGCCAAGACTCCATCATCAAAGTCGGATCCCAAGGGAGCCAACAAATTCCCCAGTGCCACTAAAAAGGAAAGAGAAGAAAAGAAAACCTCTTCATCCCCGGCAGATAATAAAAGGTCTGCGTGTACAAAAGGAAAAAGGCACACGCATTTAAAATCAAAAATCCAAAATCGCGAAAAAACATAATCGCGAGAAAAAAGCAAAAAACCCGTTCCCAACGGAATAAGAGCTTAAGCAAAAACCAGCTCAAACAACAGCAGCCAAATAAGGAGTCGAAAAAACTCCATTTCTCCATAGAAGGACAATTCAAGATAGATCTCCGGGATGAAATTAATTCCCCCAGTAGATCGCAAAACAAGAAAATTTTTCCCCAGTAAGCCTATCAGCAAGGGCAAATTACAAATTCATATCCTCAGGGAGTTAACCTTTCGGAACACCCAATATGAGTATCCCCAGCGAAGTACAAAATCTTCACTCCCAAGAATGCCTATGCTTACTCGGACACAAGCAGAAAGCCAATATCCCCAAGAAATGGGAAATCAACCTATAAGAGGTAATACAAGCACAAAGATTTCAAAAGCATCCACCTACTCAGAGGTATTATCAAAAACAAATATCCTCAAGTAGAACATCAGCCTATTCAGAGGCGAAAAACAAAGCCTTCGCCACTATTGAAGCACCCGCCTAATCAAGAGGCACAATAAAAAAATCAACGAATCCCCGGTAGATTCCCGCCTAATCAAGAGGCACAACAAAATCCCCAAGTGGATCTTCGCCTAATCAAGAGGCACAATCAAGAAGAGAATTCAAAAATCTCCAGAGGATTCCTGCCTGAAAAGAGGCAATTATCAAGAATCCCCGGCAAAAGCCGGATGGCTAAACAGAAAAAGCCAAAAATCAAGAATCCCCGGCAAAAGCCGGATGGCTAAAAAGAAAAAGCCAAAAATCAAGAATCCCCGGCAAAAGCCGGATGGCTAAAAAGAAAAAGCCAAAAATCAAAGAATCCCCGGCAAAAGCCGGATGGCTAAACAGAAAAGCCAAAAATCAAGAATCCCCGGTAAAACCGGATGACTAACAGAAAAGTCAAAAAGAAAAATCAATTACTCCCCAGGGGCGCATGAACAGAAACAATAAGTCGCCAACAATTTCCAAAAACAGATGATCATAGGATCGACTACAAAAAAAGTTCATCCTATAAGCCTTGCAAAAGGAGGCTCATTATTCACACCAGGTGGGGGTGTGTACTCACCTAAGCCTTGCAAAAAAGGTTTATCATTCACACCGGGTGGGGGTGTGTACTCACCTAAGCCTTGCGAAAAAAGGTTTATCATTCACACCGGGTGGGGGTGTGTACTCACCTAAGCCTTGCGAAAAAGGTTTATCATTCACACCGGGTGGGGGTGTGTACTCACCTAAGCCTTGTGAAAAAGGCTTATCATTCACACCGGGTGGGGGTGTGTACTCACCTAAGCCTTGTGAAAAAGGCTTATCATTCACACCGGGTGGGGGTGTGTACTCACCTAAGCCTTGCGAAAAAGGCTTATCATTCACATCGGGTGGGGGTGTGTACTCACCTAAGCCTTGCGAAAAAGGTTTATCATTCACACCGGGTGGGGGTGTGTACTCACCTAAGCCTTGTGAAAAAGGCTTATCATTCACACCGGGTGGGGGTGTGTACTCACCTAAGCCTTGCGAAAAAGGCTTATCATTCACACCGGGTGGGGGTGTGTACTCACCTAAGCCTTGCGAAAAAGGTTTATCATTCACACCGGGTGGGGGTGTGTACTCACCTAAGCCTTGCAAAAAAGGCTTATCATTCACACCAGGTGGGGGTGTGTACTCACCTAAGCTTTGCAAAAAAGGCTTATCATTCACACCGGGTGGGGGTGTGTACTCACCTAAGCTTTGTGAAAAAGGCTTATCATTCACACCGGGTGGGGGTACATACTCACCTAAGCCTTGCAGAATGAGGCTTATCATTCATACCGGATGAGGGTAAGTACTCATCAAAATTTAGCAGAATGCATTAGGTGGAGTAAAAATACTCACCTAAGCATTTCAAAAATGGGTTGCTAAGACTGTACTTCTATTAGAGGATAGTTCAGTGTTGAGCGCCTCGGAAGTAAGTACCCACAAAAGTTTAGCAAAATGCTAACTCATACCAGGTGAGGGTAGGTACTCACCAAAACCTTGCAGAACAAGGTTCATACCTAGTGGGGGTAGATACTCACAAAAGTCTAGTAAAATACAGACTTATACCGGGTGAGGGTAAGTACTCACCAAAGCCTTAGAAAAAGAAGGCTCAAACCAGATAGGGGTTAGTACCTATCAAAATATTTATCATCCGGAGGATCAGCAAGGAGCAGCATCCGAAGGACAGCCGGGCAAAAGGGTTAACTCCTTCCCCTACCAACTAATGTTGGTGGCATATTAAAAACCAACGAATTAGTTAGGCAGGTGAAGGGGGGGCAGCTGTAGACCCCTAATTTTGCCCGGCCTCTCAAAATAAAAGCTAGAGGAACTTCGCCCGAAGATGGAGTTCATCCGGCTTCCCAAAACGAGAAGGACCTCCCACAACAAAAGACGGAGTTCACTCATTCACACAATAAAGGCCAAAAGAGACTTCCTACACAAAGACAAAGCTCGCGCGGCATCTTAATGAAGGCCAAGAAGACTTCCTATATGAAGATAAAGCTTCAACGGACACACATCGGCATCAATCTATGTCCGAAAAAGGAAAGGAAAGCTTCCCGGGGTCCCAAAACGCGAAGACTGGACAAAACAGGCTGAGACCACCGTCCCAGAGTTGGGACGGCCGTCCCAACTGCAATTTTACCAGTGGGACGCACGTCCCAAACTTGGGACGGCCGTCCCAAACCCCAGGGGGTCTCAGCCTTCGTTAATTTGCATTTGGGACGGCCGTCCCAACCCAAACTGGCCGTCCCAGATTGGTACAACGTGAAAAACGCGTTTGGGACGGCCGTCCCAACCCAGACGGCCGTCCCAAAGTTCCAGGCAGCGAAAAATGCTATAAATAGGAGCCTCATTTGTCTCATTTCACACACCTCAGACACCAGAGAATTCCTGGACTTGTCTTCTTCTCTCCCTCTCTCGAATGATCTTTCTGATTGTCTTTAATAGGTAACAATCAGTTAAGGAATTTGTATTCCGGCATTCGATTCTTCTAGAAATTTTAGTCGAGTCGAGTCTGTAATCGAGAGGAGAGTTGCTGTAGAGCGAAGGACTGCCGAAACGCGTCCTCTTTGTAAAAGACTTATAATATAAAGCTTGCTACGGAGGTTTTTTCTCAATTCTCTTCTCTTTTACTGCTTTATTTACTTCTGTATGCAATGTAGATAAATCATGTAGATAGCCATATTTATTAAATAAATAAAATAAGGGTAATCGCGTAATTTCTTGTAATCTGGACTTAAATGAATTAATCCGTCATAGGGAACTCGAAAGGGGCGTTGTGGGGTGCTAATACCTTCCCCACACGTAACTAACTCCCTTACCCGACTCTGGTTATAATGGCCAAGTTGGTTTTTAATAAAATCAACGCCTTTTCTCCTTTTCCAATGTTTCTGGTCAAAACATTGGTGGCGACTCCAAAAGAACCCCTTTTCGAAAACCTTGCTTCTATTAGAGGATAGTTCAGTGTTGAACACCTCGGAAGCAATGAACACAATTTTAACAAAAAACGCGAGTCTCAGCCATCTTTTCGCGACCGCTCGCAGAACGTTCGAGACGTCCCCTGGGACGTCGGAACGGACGGCGGCGACAGGAATGAGGGGAATGGAGGCACTATTTATAAGGATTTGCGCCAGTCAGGTCGAGACGGCAGTCTCGTCTGAAAAGGTCGAGACGGCGGTCTCGCCTTGCAGGAAAGTCGAGACGGCGGTCTCGCCATTCGCAGGTGGCGAGACGGCGGTCTTGCCAAACGAGACGGCGGTCTCGCCATTTGCGTGAGGCGAGACGGCGGTCTCGATCCTAAAAGGGGAAAATCCTTATTTTTGTGCCAAAAATCTCTCCTATCCTAGTATGGGGCCTAATAGTCTCTCCTAGTGGCTTCTTAGGCTTCATCCAGCTTTGAATAGATGGTCTTCTGGTCTTTATTAGGCGGCCAGACAAGATTTGGGGTCTACAGGAAGAAGTGAAGGAGGGAGAAAAAGTTTTGGATGGAGAAGAAGTTAAGGGTAAAGAAGAAGGTATGGATGGGGAAGAAGTTTGGGATGGAGAAGAAGTTTGGGATGGAGGAGAAGTTTGGAATGGAGGAGAAGAACTGAAGTATGGAGAAGAAATAAGGAAGAAGAACTTTAGGAGGGAGACGAAGTCAAGGAAGAAGAAGTTTTGGATGGAGAAGAAGTTTGGAATGGAGAAGACTCTACTAAGTATGGAGAAGAACTTTCGGATGGGATGGGATGGGATAGGATAGGATAGGAGATTATATAGTTAAGCATGGAGAAGAAACTTGGGATGTAGAATGAAGTTAAGGAAGCAGAAGAAGTTAAGGAGGATGGAGAAGAAGTTAGGGAAGGAGAAAAAGTAAAGAATGAAGAACAAGTTAGGGAAGGAGAAGAAGTTAAGGATGGAGAACAAGTTAGGGAAGGAGAAGAAGAAGTTAAGGATGGAGAACTAGTTTAGGATGGGGAAGATGTGAAGGAAGGAGAAGAAGTTAAGGAAGAAGAAGAAGAAGTTTTGGATGGAGAAGAAGTTAAGGGTAAAGAAAAAAGTATGGATGGGAAAGAAGTTTGGGATGGAGAAGAAGTTAAGGATGGAGAAGAAGTTTGGGATGGAGGAGAAGTTTGGAATGGAGGAGAAGAATCGAAGTATGGAGAAGAAATTAAGGAAGAAGAAGTTTAGGAAGGAGACGAAGTAAAGGAAGAAGAAGTTTTGGATGGAGAAGAAGGTAAGGATAAAGAAGAAAGTATGGATGGGGAAGAAGTTTGGGATGGAGAAGAAGTTTGGAATGGAGAAGAATCTACTAAGTATGGAGAAGAAATTAAGGAAGAAGAAGTTAAGGTAGGAGAAGAACTTTCAGATGGGATGGGATAGGATAGGAGATTATATAGTTAAGGATGGAGAAGAAACTTGGGATGTAGAATGAAATTAAGGAAGCAGAAGAAGTTAAGGAGGATGGAGAAAAGTTAGGGAAGGAGAAAAAGTTAAGAATGAAGAACAAGTTAGGGAAGGACAAGAAGTTAAGGTTGGAGAAAAAGTTAGGGAAGGAGAAGAAGAAGTTAAGGATGGAGAAGTAGTTTGGGATGGGGAAGAAGTGATGGAAGGAGAAGAAGTTAAGGAAGAAGAAGAAGAAGTTTTGGATGGAGAAGACGTTAAGGGTAAAGAAGAAAGTATGAATGGGGAAGTAGTTTGGGATGGAGAAGAAGTTAATGATGGAGAAGAAGTTTGGGATGGAGGAGAAGTTTGGAATGGAGGAGAAGAACCAAAGTATGGGGAAGAAATAAGGAAGAAGAAGTTTAGGAAGGAGACGAAGTCAAGGAAGAAGAAGTTTTGGATGGAGAAGAAGTTTGGAATGGAGAAGAATCTACTAAGTATGGGGAAGAAATTATGGAAGAAGAAGTTAAGGAAGGAGAAGAACTTTCGGATGGGATGGGATAGGATAATATATTATATAGTTAAGGATGGAGAAGAAACTTGGGATGTAGAATGAAGTTAAGGCAGCAGAAGAAGTTAAGGAGGATGGAGAAGAAGTTAGGGAAGGAGAAAAAGTTAACAATGAAGAACAAGTTAGGGAAGGAGAAGAAGTTAAGGATAGAGAACAAGTTAGGGAAGGAGAAGAAGTTAAGGATGGAGAAGTAGTTTGGGATGGGGAAGAAGTGAAGGAAGGAGAAGAAGTTAAGGAAGAAGAAGAAGAAGTTTTGGATGGAGAAGAAGTTAAGGATAAAGAAGAAAGTATGGATGGAGAAGAAGTTTGGGATGGAGGAGAAGTTTGGAATGGAGGAGAAGAACCGAAGTTTGGAGAAGAAATTAAGGAAGGAGACGAAGTCAAGGAAGAAGAAGTTTTGGGTGGCGAAGAAGATAAGGATAAAGAAGAAAGTATGGATGGGGAAGAAGTTTGGGATGGAGAAGAAGTTTGGAATGGAGAAGAATCTACTAAGTATGGAGAAGAAATTAAGGAAGAAGAAGTTAAGGAAGGAGAAGAACTTTCGGATGGGATGGGATAGGATAGTATATTATATAGTTAAGGCTGGAGAAGAAACATGGGATGTAGAATGAAGTTAAGGAAGCATAAGAAGTTAAGGAGGATGGAGAAGAAGTTAGGGAAGGAGAAAAAGTTAAGAATGAAGAACAAGTTAGGGAAGCAGAAGAAGTTAAGGATGGACAACAACTTAGGGAAGGAGACAAAGAAGTTAAGGATGGAGAAGTAGTTTGGGATGGGGGAGAAGTGAAGGAAGGAGAAGAAGTTAAGGAAGAAGAAGAAGAAGTTTTGGATGGAGAAGAAGTTAAGGGTAAAGAAGAAAGTATGGATGGGGAAGAAGTTAAGGATGGAGAAGAAGTTAAGGATGGAGAAGAAGTTTGGGATGGAGGAGAAGTTTGGAATGGAGGAGAAGTTTGGAATGGAGGAGAAGAATCGAAGTATGGAGAAGAAATTAAGGAAGAAGAAGTTTAGGAAGGAGACGAAGTAAAGGAAGAAGAAGTTTTGGATGGAGAAGAAGGTAAGGATAAAGAAGAAAGTATGGATGGGGAAGAAGTTTGGGATGGAGAAGAAGTTTGGAATGGAGAAGAATCTACTAAGTATGGAGAAGAAATTAAGGAAGAAAAAGTTAAGGAAGGAGAAGAACTTTCAGATGGGATGGGATAGGATAGGAGATTATATAGTTAAGGATGGAGAAGAAACTTGGGATGTAGAATGAAATTAAGTGTCGCCGCCGTCCGTTCTGACGTCTAGTGACATCTCGAACGTTTATGCGAGCGGTCGTGAAAAGATGGTTTAGACTCGCGTTTTTGTGTTAAAATATGTTCATTGTTTCTGAGGTGCTCAATAACTGAACTATCCTCTAATAAAAGCAAGGTTTTCGAAAAGGGGTTCTTTTGGAGTCGCCACCAATGTTTTGACCCTAAACATTGGAAAAGGATAAAAAGGCGTTGATTTTAATAAAAACCAAACTTGGCCATTATAACCAGAGTTGGGTAAGGGAGTTAGTTACGTGTGGGGAAGGTGTTAGCACCCCACAACGCCCCTTTCGGGTTCCCTATGACAGATTAATTCATTAAGTGAAGATTATAAGAAATTACGCTATTACCCTATTTTATTCATGCAATATTTAAATATGGCTATCTACATGACTTTATTTCATATTGCATACATAAAGCAATAAATAAAGCAGTAAAAGAGAAGAGATTTGAAAAGAACCTCCGTAGCAGGCTTTATATCCCAAATCTTTTACAAAGGGGATGCGTTTTGGCGATCCCTCGCTCTACAAAGACTCTCCTCTCGAATACAAGACCGACTCGACTAAAATTTTAAAAGAAGAATCGAATGCTGGAATATAATTCCTTAACTGATTGTTACCTTATTAAGGCAATCAGAGAGTTCATTCGAAGTAGGGAGAGAAGACAAGTACTGTGAGTTGTCTGGAGTCTAGAAAAGTGGCAAATGAGCCTCCTATTTATAGTTTTCACAGCCTGACGCTTTGGGACGGCCGTCCGGGGTATGGAAAACAGTGATGAGCGTCTCGAGAGGTTGGGACGGCCGTCTGGGATTTGGGACGGCCGTCCCATTCAAATTTTGGCCTTGGGACGGGCGTCCCACCTTTGGGATGGGCGTCTCGACTCTCCTAGGTTGTTTGGGACGGCCGTCCCAACTTTGGGACGGCTGTCTCAACCTGTTTTCACCAGTTTTTGCGTTCTGGGACCCCCGGGAAGCTTTCCTTTCCTGATTCGGACGTCGGTTGATGCCGATAGACGCCCGTTGAAGCTTTATCTTCATATAGGAAGTCTTCTTGGCCTTTATTTGAGATGCCGGACGAACTTTATTTTTGTTATAGGTGATCTCCTTTGCCTTTATTGAGAAGCCGGGCAAAATTAGGGGTCTACAGCTGCCCCCCCCCCCCTTCACCTGCCTGGCTAATTTGCTGGCTTAATATGCCGACAAAATTAGTTGGTAGGGGAAGGAGTTATCCCTTTTTGCCCGATTATCCTTCAGATGCTCCTTCGCTGATCCTCCGGATGATAAATATTTTTGATAGGTACCAACCCCTATCTGGTTTGAGCCTTACTTGATAAGGCTCTGGTGAGTACTTACCCTCACCCGGTATGAGTCTGCATTTTACTATTCTCTGAACCATATTTCATAAGGTTCTTGTGGGTACCTACCCCCACTTGGTATTAACCTTGTTCTGCAAGGGTTTGGTGAGTACCTACCCTCACCCGGTACGAGTTAGCATTTTGCTGAACTCTTGTGGGTACTTACTTCCGAGGTGCTCAACACTTGAACTATCCTCTAATAGAAGCAAGGTATTTACAACCCGTTTTTGTAATGCTCTGGTGAGTATTTTACTCTACCTGATGCATTTTGTTAGGTTTTGATGAATACTTACCCTCATCCGGTACAAACCTTATTTTATAAGATTCTGGTGGGTACCTACCCCCACCTAGTATGAATCTGCATTTTGCTAGATTCTGATGAGTACCTACCCTCATCCGGTATAAACCTTATTTTATAAGGTTCTGGTGGGTACCTACCCCCACCTGGTATGAATCTGCATTTTGCTAGATTCTGATGAGTACCTACCCTCATCCGGTATAAACCTTATTTTATAAGGTTCTGGTGGGTACCTACCCCCACCTGGTATGAATCTGCATTTTGCTAGATTCTGATGAGTACCTACCCTCATCCGGTATAAGCCTTATTTTATAAGGCTTTGGTGGGTACCTACCCTCACCTGATCCGAACCCCGTTTTGCAAGGCTCTGATGGGTACCTACCCCCACCCGGTCCGAACCCCGTTTTGCAAGGCTCTGATGGGTACCTACCCCCACCTGGTCCGAACCCCGTTTTGCAAGGCTCTGATGGGTACCTACCCCCACCTGGTCCGAACCCCGTTTTGTAAGGCTCTGCTGGATACCTACCCCCACCCGGTCCGAACCCCGTTTTGCAAGGCTCGATGGGTACCTACCCCCACCCGGTCCGAACCCCGTTTTGCAAGGCTCGATGGGTACCTACCCCCACCCGGTCCGAACCCCGTTTTGCAAGGCTCGATGGGTACCTACCCCCACCCGGTCCGAACCCCGTTTTGCAAGGCTCGATAGGTACCTACCCCCACCCGGTCCGAACCCCGTTTTGCAAGGCTCTATTGGGTACCTACCCCCACCTGGTCTGAACCCCGTTTTGCAAGGCTCTGATGGGTACCTACCCCCACCTGGTCCAAACCCCGTTTTGCAAGGCTCTTAGGATGTACTTTTTGGTAGATAATCCTATGGTCATCTGGTTTTGGAGATGTGTTGGCGGCTTATTGTTTCTGATCATGCGCCTATTCCGTGGGGACTGATTGATTTTTCTTTTTGACTTTTCTGTTTTAGTCATCCGATTCTATCGGGGATTTCGTTGTTTTTGGCTTTTTTGTTTTTCCATCCGGCTTTGCCAGAGATTCTTTTGCTTTTGGCTTTTTCTGTTTAGCCATCCGGTCTTGGCCAGAGATTCTTTATTTTTGGCTTTTTAGCCATCCGATTTTTTACCGGGGATTTCTTGTCGATTGCCTCTTTTTAGGCAGGAATCCTCTGAGGATTTGGGCTTTCTGTTAATTGTGCCTCTTGATGAGGCACATGCTTCACTAGTAATGAAGACTTTATGCTGTGGGCTTGTATTGCCTCTTGCATAGGTTGATTTCTCATTTCTTGGGGATATTGGCTCTTTGCTTGCCTCTGAATTGGCAGAAGCTTTATTGGAAGTGAATGCTTTGCTTTTCACTGAGGGTATCCATATTGGACATTTATAAGCGATTAACTCTTTGTGGATATGAATTTGTAATTCGCCTTTGCTGATCGGCTTACTGGGGAGATTTTTCTTTTTGATTTCATCAGAGATTTTTCCCTTAAATCTATTTTGTCTTGCCCCCTAGGAAGGAATGGGAATTCTTTGACTCCTTGGCTGCTGCTATTCTGAGTTGGCTTTGCCTATGCTCTTATTCTATTGAGGAATGGGTTTTTACCTTTTTCTTGTGATTGTACTTTTTCACGATTTTGAAAATTTGATTTTAAATGAGTGTGCCCTTTTTCTTTTGTGCACGCAGGCTTTTTATTATCCGCTGGGGATGAAGAGGTTTTATCTCTTTTCTTCTCTTTCTCTTTTTTTAGCGACCCTGGGGAATTTATTGGCTTCCTGGGGATATGACGGAGTCCTGGCTCCTGGCTTTGTGAGGCTCTTTATTGAGCGGGGTGAAGATATTTTCTTCTTTTCCCCATTTTGTAGACTTTTCTTGATATGCTCTACTTGGGGATTTTCATGCGGCCTGTTTCTGTAGTGGTCTCTACTAGGGGATGAAAAAGTTTTTCTTTTCCTTTTTTTGTTGCCCCCTGGTGATATGGAGGATTTGACTCCGTATTTTCTTTGATGGACTTTGAGTGGTCCTTATTCTCCTTTGGGGAAGTGGCGGAGATTCTGGATGAGTTTGCTTGTTGACTCATGTGGCAACAAAGCTGAGTCGTGAGATAATCTTTTTGTTTTACCTCTGGAGTAGGCAAGGATCCTCTTGGGGATGATCAAGCCTTTCCATTGGCTTTTCTATTTTGGCGGTTTCCTTCTTTCTTGGACGGAAGGATGTTGATTAGAGCTATTTTCTTTGAAGCTCCTTATTTTGTTGAAATGGTTTTGATTTCGCCTTTCGCGATTTTGATTTTCATATAGAGACTGGATTCTGGCGCTTCCTGTTCTCAATCACAAGTATGGAGACTAACCTCCTTATATGCATGTTTATTTAAAGAAAATTATTTTTTCTTGATTTTGACAAAGTCGTATTATGTAACTACTTTGTGTGTGGATGTCCTAAATGCAATCTATTTGTTTATTTATTTTTGATGCACTTAGAAAGTGACTGGCCTTTTCCCGTTGGCTTCTTATGAATACGCCGATGGGCTCCTCCTTTATGACCATGATGATGGACTCCTCTTTTATTCATCTCTTGGTTTTAGCCCTATCTTTTGCCTAGACCGCCCTTTACGGGTTTTCGATCTAGCGGGCTGCCTTAATTTTTGCCTAGAATATCTTAGGGGGCTTTTCCCTTATCTTTTGCCTAGATCGTCCTTTGCGGGTTTTCGATCTAGCAGGCTACCCTAGTTTTTACCTAAGAATATCCTAGCAGACATTTATTATTTTCTTATTTGTTTATGCTTCCCCTTTTTAGATGCATGCTTGATCTTTGATTAAAGGTCTTTGCGCATATTTACGATTTATCAATAAAGATGCTGTCGCCGCCGTCAAAACGAGGCGGTCGGAGCGACGCGATGGTTTTATCGACCCTCTTGTTTTCGCGTTTTTTATTGGTGGTTACAACGTCCTTAGGTTGTCCGATAACCGGGCTAACCTAGAGACGAGGTTTTCGAAAAGTGTCCTTGAGTTGTCCGACAACCGGGCTAACCCAAGGATTTATTTATTTTGGGTTCTATGGAGTCGCCACCGATATTTTTACCATAAACATCGGAAAAGGGGTTTTAAAAAGGCGTTGGTTTTCGAAAACCAACTTTGGTCATTAGAACCAGAGTTGGGTAAGGGAGTTGGTTACGTGCAAAGGGAGTATTAGTCCCTTTGCGACGCCCCTTTCGGGTTCCCTATGATAGGCCGGCTTATTTTTATTGATAAACTAGA